AAGCAAAACTTAAGTAAAAAAAAATTCTTCTGCAAAACTTGTATGTCATCCTTGAACCTCCCTGATTTTATTTTTTTACTACTAGTGTGTGCTTTTATCATATGTGTTTAGAGTTTCCTTAGGTGGTGAAGCTTGTCTCTGAGATCGTCCCTTAAGCTAAAGAGTAAAGGAAGAACTAAATACATGAAGATGATCACGAAGAGTCTGAAACCAAGAGCCAGAGAGATGCTTGGTAAGGACGTCTGCAACCTAAAATTGAGAAACAACATACTGCACCACAAGATGTTTAGACTGAACCATTTCCCTTACAAAATGGATATCGATTTCGATGTGCTTTGTACGAGCATGGAAGATCAGATTGGATGCAAGAGCATCGGCACTGGTGTTGTTGCACCAGAGGATAGGCAAACCTGGAATAGAAATGTGAAGCTCTTGGAACAGATTCTGAAGCCAAGCAACTTCAATAAAGACCTGAGCTAAAGCTCTATATTTAGCATCAGTGGAAGATAGAGCAATGACTTGTTGCTTTCTAGAGCCTCACTGTATCAAGTTAGAACTAAGGAAAAGATGGTACCCACTAGTAGACTTGTGATCAGATAGATTGCTAGTCCAATAGGCGTTCGTATAGCCCTTAAGTTGAAGAGTGGAACTGTGGTGAAAAGTTAGACCATGAGTGAGTGTACCTTTGACATACCGAAGAACACGTTTGCAAGCTTACCAATGAGTGATAGTGGGAGCCTTGAGGAATTGGCTGAGTTTATTTACAGCAAATGAGAGGCCAGGCCTAGTCATGGTAAGATATTACAAAGCACCAATGAGACTTCTGTAGAGGGAAGGTTGTTCGAAGAGCGGATCATCCTCAAAGTGCAGCTTGGAACCAAGAACCATAGGAGTGGCACACGGATTACAGTCTGTCATTCCAAATTTGGAGAGAATCTCTTGAGCATACTTGGCCTGATTAAGTTGCAACCCATAGCAATAGAGATGCCCAAAAAATAATGAACAGAATCGAGAATCTTTAGACCAAATTTAGTATCTAAAGCTGACACTATGGAGTGAATGAAGGAGGGGTTATTGTCAGTCAATAGTATATCATCAACATAAATAATAATATAAACTATCATGTCATCTTGAATAAGATAAAAGAGACTAGAATCAGAAGTGGAGTTTTGAAAACCTTTGCTCAGCAACACAGTTTTAAGCTTATTGAACGAGACCCTGGGGGCTTGTTTTAAGCCGTATAAGGCTTTGTGCAATCAACAAACATGGTGAGGTTTAGATTGCTCAACAAATCCCTCAGGTTGTGTCATGAATACGGCTTCAGTAAGTTCGCCATTGAGAAAGGCATTATTTACGTCTAATTGTTGGACCTCCCACCCATTGTGCACAGCTAAGCATAAGATGACTCTAATGGTGGATGCCTTAACAACCAGGGAGAATGTTTCTGAAAAATCAACACCAGGGGTTTGATGAAAACCCTTAGCCATAAGGCATGCTTTGTAACGCTGGATATTGCCATCAGCATTTAACTTGACTTTGAAAACCCATTTATGACCAACCAAAGTCATTTCATTAGTTTAAGGAACTAAAGTCCAGGTGTGATTATTTTGTAGTGTAGTAAACTTAGCATTCATGGCCTGAACCCAAAGGGGATTGTGTAAGGCAGTAGTGACGGATGAGGGTTCTCTATGAATCTCAGAGGAAAGTAAGGGAACAGGAACTGTGGCTGTGTATTCAGGGACAAGAGGAGTGAAGGAAGTGGTTGTATGACAGCCAAGAAGAACATGACTGATAAAAGCAACAGCTTTCCTGCGAGTAAGCATAGGATGGACATTGAGTGTAGGAATATGGGAGGGCTGAGAGAGATTGTTGTAGGCTTGAAGATCAACTTCCAAACATAGGATAGGTGGTTTTGGAGAGGAGAAAGTAGGTGAAGGTAAGGAGGACATAATGAAAGTGTCATGGGCAGATGACTCAATATCAGATGAGGGTGATGAAGGAGCTGAGTTAGTTTGAGACAAAGGCTAATGTAACAACGATATATGAGGAATTTTTCCAGGCCTAAGATGAAAAAGAAGGGTCTGCATTAGCAGATAAATCAGAATTGGTAAGTGAAAAACCATGGGCAAAAGGAAATAGTTGCTCATTGAACTTGACAGTCTAAACTAGGGCTGTTCAACGAGGGGAGCCGCTCGCGAGCCGACTCGGCTTGGCTCGAGTATGGCTCGTTAATGGCTCGCCTCGTCTGGAATCGAGCCGGCTCAGCTCGATTCATGAGAGAGCATGAGTCGAGTTCGAGCCTGCCTTGACTTGGCTCGTTACGCTCGCGAGCCATTAGGGGCATTTTAAGAGTTTTATTAAGTATAAGGGATTAAACTAAAGTTTTTAAAACAAAAAGTTTGAAAAAATAACAAAGCACACCCCATGTTAAAATCCCTAAAAACGCTACTAAAATCCTTTCCACTAAAACCAAACTAAACCAAAAAATTTTAGGTAGTTGGCATAAGATTTGGTAGAGAGTGCAGGGAAACAAGGAGAAAAAAGAAGGAAAAAAATCAGAGTTGGTGGAGACTGGAGAGTGCCGGGGAAACAAGGAGAAAGAATGAAAGAAAGAAAGAGAAAATAAGAAAAAAGGAGAAGGAAGGAAAGAAAGAGAAAAGAGGAGAAATAGGCGCCATTAGAGAGAGAGAAAATAAGAGAAAGCAAAGAGTAATAACTAATAAGTAACAAAAGAGAAGAGGAAGAGAATACCAGAGTTGTGGAGACTGGAGAGAGCAAGGGAAATAGGAAGAAAGGGAAAAAAAAAAAAAAAAAGAGAGAGAAACATGAGCCATTGCCATTGGAGTCTGGAGAGAGAAAAGAAGGCACATCAATAATAAATTAGAGAGGAAAGAAGTGAAAGAGAGACTAATAAATGAGAGAGAGAGAAAAGAAAGAGTAATAAATGAGGGAGGAGAAAAGCTGCGCGCCTGCGCATAATTTAAAAAAAAAATTACATGTTATTTACTTGGTTCGCGAGCCGGCTCGTGAGCCAACTCAATTTTTTTTTTTTTATTTACGAGTTGAGCCGAGTCAAGAAATTAAAGGCTCGGCTCGACTCGAACTCCGTTCGAATCTTTTTTTCTTTTTACTAGCTAAGCTCGTTAAGCCAAAAACTCGGCTCAGCTCGGCTCGGCTCGTTAACAACCCTAATCTAAACCGTGTAAACTTTGCCATGAAGATTGAGGTAGAGATAGTCCTTGTGATGAGAACTACAACCCAATAGAACACATTGCTCTGAGTGAAAAGAAAATTGATGTTGTTGATAAGGTCTAAGAAAAGGAAAACATTGACATCCAAAGGTACGAATAGCCTTATAGTCTGGAACATTATGGAAAATCATTTGAAAAGGTGAGTTATTGGATATAAATGCAGAGGGAAGACGATTAATTAGATACACAATAGTGTGGAAGGCAAACCACCAGTACTTAAGCAACATAGAGGCTTGAGCTAATAACGGTAATCTTACTTTTGTCACATGGCAATGTTTCTACTCAACCTTTCCATTTTTTTGATGAATATGAGGGCAGGGATGCCTGAAATGAATACCATGTTGAGCAAAATATACAACAAGAGGACAAAATTCACCTCCCCAATCTGACTGAAAGGTCTTGATCTTGCCATCAAATTGTTGAGCCATTAATGCAACAAATTGTTGAACAATATTATGTACCTCAGATTTTAGTTTTAGAGGATTGTGTAATCATCAACAAGTAGCAAGTAATACTTGAAACCAGTGGCTGAAGTAGCAGGTGCAGGACCCCATACATCGGTGAACACAAGTTCAAAAAGTTGGCTTGTCTGGGAAGCTGATGGAGGAAAAGAATTCTAGCGAAGTTTACCATACTGACATGCTGTACAAAATTAAACTTTATTGATAGAGTGATTCTTTACATTCAAATGCGAAACAAAAGAATTTAAAGCAGATACATGAGGGTGACCAAGTCTGTGGTGCCACAAACCCCCTTCTTGTGTAGGATAAGTTTCTACAACTTTATTTGCAGGTATACTATGTGAAGTACAAGTGACCAAGCAACTTGTTAGATTATACACAATATTAGAATCTAAAGGTAAAACACTAGAACAACCAGAAGGAGTAACATAAGGTGCTTAAGAGTCGTGAACTAAGGACTGATGCAGAGAAGAAACCATTGCATGTTTATTCGTGGAATCTGGAAATTGAGCAGAAGCAAGTATTGAACTTGTGGCTTGTTTATTGTCGGAAGAATCTAAAGGAATGGTAAGTTGGTAGAGACCATTGCGCATAGTCCCTCTAAGCAGGACCTCCTGAGTTAGGTTGTCCTTAACAACACATTCATCAGTAGAGAATTCAACTACCACATGATTATCTCTTGTAATTTTGGAAATACTAAGGAGATTCTTGGTAACTTAAGGAACAGAAAGTATATTTCTAAGTTGCAAGGATTTATTTACACAAGAAGAAGAGATAAAGGCCAAACCTGTGTGTGAAATGTCAAGGCATTGACCGTTGCCAGCCTGAAGAGAGTCTTATCCTATATACTATTTTTTTTTTTTTTATTATTATAAGGAAGATGTTAAAGATCTGATGTAATATGGTGAGTGGCTCCAAAGTCAATGAACCAAGTAGGATCAGACACTGTAAGTGGTGTTGCAATTGGACTTTTTTTATTTCCAGCAGGGGAGATTATTGCAGCAAATTGATTCAGATTATGAGAAGAAGACTTATTCAGATGTGAAGTATTCTGAAACTGCATTTGATGAGGAATCATTAGTGGAATTAGAGGAAAGGACTGTGGTGTTCTATAAGAAGCACTGTCTCTCCTTGGTTGCTAATAGAGGTAACCACTGGAGCTCTTCTCCGATTAATAGTTCCAAGATCCCGAATGATTAGTTGAGGTGCGTATATACGGACCCGAACAACCCGGTCATAAAAAAGAAAATATATATATATTCCAGATAAAATATTCACAAAATGGACAAGAAGAAGCAAACTCATTTCATGTCTCACTGTATTTAGACTACAGAAGGTTGAAGAAAGCATAAAATGTTTTGTTTTTATTGGCCATACTTTTTTTTTGTTCATGGCCTTGCCATGGCTGCTGAAGGCAACTAAAGAGTTTAGTACATTTACGAGTACAGCTCTCATGGATTCCAGTCCACTAGTTTAATTCTACAAGTCATCAAAGAAAAGCTAACTGCTTCTGTATTAGTTACATACATTTATCTGCAGTTTGTTTATCAGCTCGAGAGTTTCATGATACCGAAACCATGAAACTGGCCAGGTGCTCAGCACACAGAGAGAAATTATAATTATTCATCGAAAGACTGCGATTGCAGACTTCATTAGGCTACAAAAGAAAAGAAAGACTGTAGTTAAGAAGCAACTTAAGTAGCAAATAATTTAGATTCATAACTACTGCCAAATTTCATCCCAATAATGAATTTACAGTTCACGGTCGAATACAGAGGTGGTCAAACTAATTCAGTACTAGGAAAAATAACTTAGCTTCATTTCAGTCTCTCATCTTTCAAAGATGGTGATTGACTTTGCCACTATTATATTTAATAAAAATGTCATTATACTTCAAACTGGAGGCAGAAATTGTACTCATGTTAAGGGCAAAAATAGTTGCCTGATCACAGACAGCAGAGTATACCAGAAATTCTTATAACATACTTTTTGCACATTATATGTCTCCACTTGTGCAGAACTCAAGATAGGATATTCACTTTTAAAATTATAGATTAGACTAACAAGCCATAAATCTTCTTACTACGATAAATTTGAGTAAAGATGGTCCTCAATCATTGAGAAAAAGGTATAGCACAAATGGAGGATCTAGGCTTAGAAAGAGCTTATAAAACACTCTAAAGATAACCTGCAACAAACATTTGATTTTGTGAATAAGCTGCCTAAGAAGAAATGGGCAATTGGAGAAAGCAACTGATTTATGGTTATCCTACCTGTTGTCTCCCTTACTTGGACCTTCCTCTAAGAGGTTGTTGGGTGACAAGTGCATAGTATTAGTGCCCATTGGAACTTACGTGCAATATATCATCAACTTCATGAATTAATTTCATGATATAAGGATTTTCTATTATAACAACTAACAAGTGTGCTATACAAGCAATGACACCATTTGAATCCTTATCTACTGCCTCAAATGCTATCATTATATTGAGAAGAAACACTCCACATAACTTTTCAGGGTAAACACTCAACATAATGACAAAATTGAAAAACTCACGTAATAGTAGGAAACAAAGTAAAATCTGGAAGTTCACAGAATTTACAATTACCCAACAGGATGAAAAGTAGATTTAAATCCCTTGCTTTTCAGGGGAAATTAATAGTTATAAGAATCTTAAAATCTATTCCTGTTGTTAATAGCTATAAGAATTATTCCTCTTGTGCAATTCAGCAGAGTACCAACAATAACAAGCCTACCAGAAATGTATCATTTCACATTTACCAAATGAGTTAGGGTCACAAAGAAGGCAAAACAAACCATATATTTGCTCAGCGACACCTTTGGTGTACTACTTATAACAAATAATGCCTATTAACTAAGGTGCTCTAACTAAGAAAAGCTGACATTAACAGGCCATTCACCTAGCCCGTCCTTTACTTCAAAACTTCAAAATGTCACAAGATAAGATCCATGACCCCACATACCATATTTGATAAAATGACACCGTATGACTTCTTAGTGTCCAAATGAAAAATAGAGCCAGTTTTTAGTGTTGCAAAGACAGAAGGCATAATTTTAGGTTACTGCTTCAGAGCAGCAAATTTCTATGAGAAAAATCAATCACAACGAATCAACAACCATATGATGCCACACTCATGTAAATAGCTGACAAACCATCCCAATAATTGAATATAAGCATACCTCTTTAACTACGAGAAAAGAGCACAAGTGAACCCTTCATTGACCAGTTCGTTAATTGCATCTCTAAACTTGTAATAATCATCTGGTTTGTTGTAAACTTGATGAGAAATTCTTGCATACCCTGTAATCGTATCAACCTCCCCATCTCTTTGCGGCCGATAATAAATAGGTACTTCCACAGAAAACTTATCCCTCAAGCGAGTTCTTAACTTTTGGGTATCAGACTCACATGAAATCCCCAAACAAGCAGGCAACCCAACCATGATCATGCTCGCACACATCTCTGGAGGAGACCCAAGATGCGTTCCCCATGCATTTGCCAACATCTCCCCCATCGCAACAACATCTTCATGATTCCTCTTCTTGATTCCCTCAATTCCCCCTTCAAACCTATTAACAAACTCCAAAACTTGAGGAACCACCAATTGGGCACTATAATCCCTGGTCCCAATCCAAGCACTCTCTATAGCCAACCCATTTCCATACTCATGAGACACCACAGGATGATGCAAATCATTACACTCATTAGCCTTTCTACAATACAAAAACGCAACCGAAGGCGGGCAAAAGAACCACTTATTCAAATTACTAGTATAAAAGTCAGCTCCAATTTCCTTCATATCAACATCAATACAACCGATACCATGAGCTGCATCCACAAACACTTGATCCACACCCTCTTCCCTACAAATCTTAACCAATTCTTTTACAGGAATCACAACACTAGGCATAGAAGTCACATGATCAATCACAGCTAATCTAACTCTTTTCCCACTATTTTTCCCTCTCGCTAAAGCCTTCCTAAACTCACTAACAACTTCATCAACAGAGCTAACAGGAAAAGGCAATTGAACTTCAATAACAAACCCACCTACACGAGTCACATAAGCCTCCACAGACTTCTTCACAGCGCCATAAGCATAGTGAAGCATCACACAAGCATCCCCTTTCTCAAACCTCCCCTGAGAAAACCCCCAAGAAACACTCTGCAAAACGATAGCCGCCGCAGTTGTAGCATTATCAACAATGGAGATTTCATCAACATGGTCAGCATTAACCAGGTCTTTAATCACAAGTCTAGACTGTAAAATTCCAGTCTTCAACTTGTTGAAGTAAAACTCATCCGGCTGAGAAAGGTAGTCAAGCTGCCACCTTTTCTGTGCAGAGATGATGCTCTTGGGGCAACATCCAAAGCTGCCGTTGTTGATGCGGGCTACGGAGGGGGAGTGGTGGGAGAATTCAGATTGGATTTCAGTGGGGGAAATGAAAGAATCACAAAGCTTAGGCCTCTTGGGGAAGTGGGTAATGGAGTTATGGTCAATTCCATTCATGGTGGACTAGTAGTGAGGATTAGGCATGGGAAAAGGATGAGATTTTTTCAGGTTTTGGTGGAGGAGGAGATCATGGAGATGGAGAGAGGAGAAAGAGCGAGAGAAAGGGGAGAAGGAAAGTTTCAACAAAGCGTGAGAGATAGTGTGGTTTGATGACATATGGCTAATTTAATTAGTGCTTCTTAATTGTGTTTTATTACCAAAATGTGAAGATAATTAACCTTATTTTAATAAATTTAAATTAGTTGTCTTTTGTGAAATTGGCTAGTTTGTGACAATTATGTCTTTTTCTAATAAATTTTTGATTTTGATGTTTAAAAAATTTATTAAGTTGGACAACTGAAATGACTGTTTTATCTATGTGGATAGTATTTTTATTTTTGAAATAAGAGTTAATGATTAATCTCTTGAGATAAATAACAAAAATTCTAAAATAATAAAAATCTTCTTCCATTAAGTTTTAAGCGTTTAAATAAATAATAGGAAAACAATTTGATAATACCAACTTATAACCGTCCTATTTTTACATAATTTACTGGGATTTTTATTTTATTAATACCTAAGGTGATTTATGTCTTTTTAACTCTTGAAATAATAAAAATAAAACCATCACTAACAATTTTGGAGTTAAAAATAGAAAAAGTTACATAATCCTATTCACTATGTTTGAATATAAGTGTTAAATGGTGAGTGTGTTTTTTTTTCAATGAATTTTGGAAAGGTTAAAAGAGGTGATTTGATGACTTTTTGAGATGTCAAAGGATGGTTGACTGAAAAAGAAATGGGATAATTGTCATTTCCTAGAAGAATAAGGATAATAATTGACAACTCTCCAACTATTGTTGAATTTTATATGGATTTTAATTTAATGACTTTAAATAATTTTTAGGATCCTTAAAAAGTTAAATTTCTTGATTGGACTCCATTAGGTGGTTAAATGTCAATAATACCCTTGAAACTTTGTAGTTTTGTTTTATTATTTGCCTTTTAATATGTTACAAGTATTGTGGAAGGCCAACTTAAAAGTTGGAAAGTTTTGTCATTTACATTAGCTTATGGTATTTCTTCTTAGTGTATGCATCTTTGTTGTTCACAACTTTCCATCCAAGTCAACCTAAAGGTTTTCATATTTCTTTATTGTTAAATGCAATTAATATTTTATTAGGGTTTATTCCTTTGGTATCATTGAGTTATCCACTAGTAACAATATAATTCCTCTTCTTGTAGAAATAATACACTAACCTCGTTTACCATTAGTTTTTGGGAAATTATTAGTAAACCCCTACACATTTGAGGAATTAAAAAGCACCCCTTGGTTTCGGAAATAAGACCCTAGCCCCCATTCTCTCAAGTTCCATTAATGAGAATCTGCTAAGAGTGCAAGGATGAATTGACCCTTTGACAAAATAACAAAACATATCCTAATTGCCTAACTACCTTCTCTGTCATCCCTTAATTGTGCAACCACCATCTGTTGTTGGTGTTGCCACCTCTAACAACCTTGTGGTATAGCTAGATGTCTCTACGACACCGCAATAACCACTAAAGGCTTTGACTGCCTCGGATTTATCACTTAAGGCTACCAAAGGTCTCGCAACTATTGCAAAAGGATTGAAAGCCTTAATAACGACAATGATAAAGGTTAAAAAAAGACCTCAGGACAATTGATAAGGTCATATTTGCCCTTGAAGGCTGCGTAGAGCTCGAATTTAGCCTCTACTATTGTCAATAGCCTAGATCTAGCCTTGTCACTGATGAGGCCAAATTCGGCCTCTCGACATTGGTAGAGGCTAGGGTTGCCCCTATCGAAGCTTTTAGAGGCCATATTAAGTCTTAAGCAGCCATTAGAGGTCTAATTTGGTTTCATGGCAATCTATTGAGGTGTTTACTGGTGAGAAAGAGAGGAATAAAATGGTAGAAGCAGGAGAAAAGACGAAGAACAAAAAAGATGACGGGGGAGAAGAAAAAATTAGCTAGGGTTCTCCTAGGTGAAAGTTAGAAATGCCCTTCCTTATAAATTAAAATTACAACTTTACTTGTATGTCAGTTAACATTAATGGCAAAGTTAAACAAAATGGGGGCTAGGGTCCAATTTCTCAAATTAGTGGGCTTCGAATTCCTCAAATCTATGGGGGTTTACTAAAAAAATCCCTTACTTTCGGCAGTCAATTAAAAATGTCAACTATGTCGACTTATGCAATGATCAAATTCACCTAAAAAATTTTAGAATTTTGTTTTGAAAATTTCACTTATATTATGAATTTCTAAGAAATTTATGTTTAAGAGTGATATGATCTTTTAAAGGTCAAAATCAGTCAAAAAAGTTAATTTTAATGGAAAAAAACTAGGGATATATGAGATAATTAAATAATTTCCATACCAAGAGGACCATTGTTAATGGTAGATAACTCAGGTACACCAAAGAAAAAGCCCTACTTTCTTTAAAATTCAATTTTATAATTAGGTAAGTGAAAGGTTAGGTCGCATAGGAATAAATTAATTCATACGAAATTATAATAAGTAGTTGAATAATGATGTGTTAACTTGCCATTATCTTTATAACATTTTGTTGTGATATAGTATCAGATCGGTTAATAAATTATTGCAATTGGGTTAATTTTTAATTGGATTGCTACGGACAATTCTCTCCATTTGTGATAGGGTTAATAACATTTACACCCCCTAAGGTTTCACTATTTTCGGTGTATAGATAAGAGCATTAGGTCAACACTTACACCCCAATGATGTTAGGGCAAACTTAACTGGAAGAGGTTAGTTCAGTAATAGCACTTGAAAGTAATGAAGAAATAGAAGAAACGAGTTAAAAAGTTAAAAACTCACTCAAGACTCATATATAAAAAAAAGTCAGCCTTTTTATCTTTAAAAAAATTAGATTAGAAAGATTATTTCCTTTATATTTACAGAGTAAAACCACCATCATTTCAACCCAGAGCCAAAAAAAATCATATATCTTCACTATCTTTTATCTTTCGTTAATGACCAAATTCGTACAACCAAAGCCAAAACCACAAGAACCAGCAACTATGGATTACACCTCAAGGACAAACATTAGAAGGAAAAAAAGGAGGATGAGGGTGTTGTAGTTGATGATAGTTGAATCATGGAAATAGCAACGAGTGATAGATAGGGAAAATAAAATAAATTGCATATAGTGGCAACTGTGGCTTGCTTATGGGAAAGTGTTTGAGGCGATTATGTTACAAAAAAATGTAGAGAATCTTGCAAAGCTACAGATCGGAGGATATGGAGACCGGTGGTGTGGGTTGTATAATTTATGTACGTAGTTATTATAGCACGTATGATGGTGTGCGTAGAAGTCTTTGCAGTGGTTTCATTTGATTTTTTTTTTTTTTTTTTTAAACCCATTATATTTTGTTATGTGTTTTTGTTTCTAGTTAATTTTGATAGTGAAAATATTGTGAAGCCAAAAAACGGGGTCGTTTCATTTAAGTTAATTGAAGGAATCCTGGCCGTCAGATCAAGACAGATCCAAGGGCTAATATTTGCTAATATGGGCTTATATAAAAAGAGAAGCTACAGTGTGGTTACAGTCGCATTTTTCTAATCTGTAACAGTTAGGGTTTATACGAAATTAGAGAGCAATTAGGTTGGGTATTCTTGCTGAGGCTTTCTGGGAATAATCTGGGTAGATTAGAGAGAGGGTTGCGTTTCCATCTTGAGGCTGGTTTAGTCCTCTGTTCTTGTAGATTGTAGAGAGTTTCTTGAGCGAATAGGCCTAAGTTGAGTGTTGCTCTGTTTCGGCAAATTTGTATGGTTTTCTTCTTGTAATTGTTGGATAATCTTTTAGTGCTGTGAGTATTCGTATTTCGGAGCTCAACGTGGATGTAGTCTATACAATATTGGATAGACAAACCACGGTAAATTCATGCCTTGTGTGTGTGTGTGTTTTGGGTCTTGAATCTTGATTGTGTTTGTTTGTGTTGCGAATTGATTAATTAGGCTTGGGTTATAATATTGGTATCAGAGCCAAAGTTCTAAGGTGTATCTAGGTTTAGAAATCGTTTAATTCTTGACGAATTCGAAAATTAGGGTTTGTCAGTTTTTGTGGGTTTTTCGATTTAAAGGTTCCTAGATCATTAGGACTTCGAATCTTGCTGAGTCTTGGGATTAATTTGTGAGATTAGGTCACAAACACAAGGGATCGACGAAATTTGTGCAAAATCGAAATTAGGGTTTTGTTAGGATTTGGGGTTTTTTCGAATTAAAGGCTTCTAGAGCTTTGGGGTTTCGAATCGTCCTGAATCTGGTCGAATTGGTTAGTCTGAGTCACAAACATGAGTCAAGGGGAGAAATCTTGGTATTGCCTAGGGGCTGTAGTAGTACTGTTCACTTTCATCTTATTTGATAAGTCTAAGGGTATCTCAATTGGAAAACCAGTAACCTCCTTAAAAATTGCCTGACAGTACCTGGCGACCTCTGGTATAACAACGCCACGTACACTTTAGACTATCCTACCCTGCCATTACAGTACAATGAGCACTACTCGTATGGAGATCTCCCAATACGATGGGAAGATCAATTTTAACACATGGAAAAAGAAGATGAAGGCCCTCCTTTCACATAATAAGGTCGGGCTTGCTCTGGAAAAAGACACCACCAAGTGGTCTGAAGAGAAACTGAAGAAGAAGGCTGAAGTTGATGAGGAAGCCTATAATCTAATCATAATGAATCTGTCTGATGCGGTCCTGCGAAAGGTAGATGGCATGGAAACACCGCTCACACTCTGGGGTAAACTCGAATCCCTTTATTCCTTACAGTTTGCACCAAACTTAGCATTCCTTAAAGGAGCTTTATTCTCTTATAAAATAAATGTTACTAAGTCTATAGAATAAAACCTTGATGAGTTTCTTAAGATGACGTTAGTGTTGAAAGGTACAGATCAGGAGTTAGGAGATTCTAGTTTGTCGATGATACTATTAAATTCATTGCCTGATGAGTACTTAGTGATAGAAAATGCTTTACAATACACTGTGACAGTTCCTAGTGTTGACCTGATTATAGCTGGCCTGAAATCTAGGGAATTGGAGTTGAAAATACAGAAAATGAATGGAAATAACTTGTTTGTCAAAAGTAAGACAGATCCTGGACAATTAGGAAGTGATAG